TAGCAATCACATTTTTATTATATTGACACAAAATAAAGCTTTGCACGACTCGCAGATTTTCAATAAGACAAAAACATCTTCATTTAACAAGCAATTTTTGTAAAGCTAACAGTGCGAACCACATTGACTCTCTGCTTATTTACATTTTTAAAACAATCAACAGTAATTTGTAGTACTAACCATCACTTCATATTTTTCCATGAAAATATATGAAACTGGATATTTATTATAAACATAAACCTAATAAATTGTTATATTTATAATCAAAAGATAACGGCGATTAATGTATGAATCAAGTATGAATCAAGTATGAGATGACCTTTATCAGAGACTCGAATTTCTCATCGTTATTTGCCATTTTCAAATAAATAATACGATTTTAATGTGGCGCAGTTCCACGTAAATGTGTCATTTAAAAATTCCATAAATATTAAAAAATATCAACAAGCTAGAGCAAATACCCACATTCCGCACGCCATTCACACACGGACGCATTAACTTTTATTGGCATCATACAACAGTTGCTGTGCTGACCTACTTTACGAAACTGCAGCAAGCTCCAGGACCCATACGAGAACACACACTTCCACGGTGCATACCTACACACGCACACAACTATGTCACATACACCTGCTGAGAGGACCCACATACGCAACCCGAGATACGGTGCACAGCACGAGAGCAGCTTTGATCTATGGCACGTCCAAAAGGCTTCTCTGCCTGCCCCCCCACCAAGCTGGACAAACAGAAAAACTTTTCAGAATGTAATTTTAGACATTTGCACATTAATTAAATTAGCAGAAAAAGTGCTCATCGGCCGCCACAGAGCAGCTAACCTGACCAACTAAAATAAATATAGAATATAGAATATAAAATGAACTGAAAAGCTACATACATATGTTGATATATTTGCCAACACTTTATTATACTCTTTTTGTAGATTATTTGGGTATAATTTAAGCTTATCTAACGGAAATAAAACTCACAGCAAAAAAAAAAAACTTTTCTGAAAACAAACTCCAAGCTGTTTAACAATCGACCCACAACCCATTAAATTGGCCGCTTAACCATCCGCTAGATTAAATTCTGATAGAAATCCGAGTCTAAGACGCTAAATCACAGTTTATGGCCCTTTGTAAATGCAAATAGGCGTCCATTATTTTATTTTTATTTTATTTCATCTTATAGATGTGCACGCATATGAATACATAAAAACTCGATCAAAATGCATGGCAGAAACAATTTAAAATAATTCAAGAGACCCTTGCGGGCAGCCGCAAACAAGCAACTGGCAGATGGCCCTGCAAGCTCACTGGATACGTTGGATTATCTTTGAGATACTCGTACTTACTTACTTATCATACATACTACGAGCGCATATTCAAGGCAAAGTGCGTGTATGAAAGGAATTATCAAGTGTTTGTCAACACACACTCGCACACACACACACACACACACACACCCACACACATACACACACACTCTGAGGAGTGTCAAGCAGTAAGCACTACAGAGAGCTTATGTAAAGTGAAAGTGTGCGCTGTCGTGTCATAAGAAACTGTCCGTCTCAACGTTCAGTTCATCCCTCTGTCCGATTACATATACGAGAAATGCGTAAACCAAACGACCGGAAGATACATATACAATATATATATATATATATATATATATATATATATATATATATATATATAAACATAAGCACACACACGCATACATACTTATGTACATACATAAATAAGTTTCCGGATTAAACGCACACCTCGACCGCCATTGTCATCAGGCCAAGTTGGCGCAATAAAACCAAACTGAAACTGTGCATGAAACTTCTGCCTTGCCTTTTCCCACTCCCCCAAGTAAGAAAAGTATGTCATTCCGCCTGATACTTATGCGACAGTGTGTGAGTCTGGGAGTGAAATTGCCATCTCATGAGCGTACATCAAAGGCATAAGTCACAAGCACAACGAGCCTTCTTCCGATAATCAAACCGTTGACATATTTTATAAGTAATCGACCAGATCCCTTTTCATTCTGTATTATCCTCTTAAATATATAACCAAATATTTGTTTAAATAGTGCTTTAAGTTTGAGTTTTTTACCCAACCATTTGTTTTCAGTATATTGAGTTGAAATTAGTATATCAAAACGCTCTATTTTCTATTGAAGCATTGTGACCTGTTGGCAGCGGCAACATGTTTGAATTTGGAGACCTTCGTGGCTTAACATAAATAGCTTATTGTTAGTCATATTTACATATCCACATTATGCCAAGTGCAGTTGAGCCGCAGCAGCCAGCGTTGGTAGCGCTCACATTATGCAACGTTCTCTTTGTGCAGCGCTGCAGCAAATCAGTTGTTTCACATTATTCTAGCTAAACAGTTGTTTCGCATAACTCAAGCTGATTGATCGTTTTGGTGTTTCTTAGCAGTGACTTCAAACATTCATTTCGCTGATCGATCGTTAGTTACTCTTGTTGTGAGAAGATTTAACAATTGGCTTTAAACCTTTGGCTTCTAGTCTAACTAAATTATTTCAAATAAACCTTATATCGTATTCGAAGTAACTTTGTGTTATTAATTGAAAAATAAAGCTATCAAAAAGCTGATAGCGCAAACAACGCCTTTTCAAGTAATTTAAAAGTTTATTTAATTCATTTTTAGCAAATTATAATAAACCCTTGTCACATATTTCTTTTAAAATATTAACTTATGTCCTTGAGTTTCAATATTTTGCTTAGCAAATAATCTCTCTTTCTTGAGTTTAATTGAATATTATCAAAGCCCTTTCCTTAATATGTAAATATTTCGTCATTTAAGTAATTTAACAAAAATTTAAGTAAATTTACGCGAATTATAAAGACATTTCAGTACATGTGTCTTTAAAATATTAATATCTTTTTTATTGTGCGCTAAGCACATTTTTCTGAAGCAGTCGTGTGCGAAATGAAATTGAGACCCAGAAGTTAAATGGTTTAAAAAATTTGATTGCCACTTTCAAGACAACAATGAATATTCCATATGCGAAGATATAATTTATATTTATATTTTTCCACTTAAACAATTTTGAGCTAAAGTAGGTATATATATGTATATGGATATATTTATCTGCACCTCATATCGTCCTTGTTCCTTCTTGTTTCTTTATTTCCAAAAATATATCATTTTTATTATGTATTTGTTTTTGTGTCGTTGTGCTTGGTGCACATTCAATATTTAACAGTCTCAACAAATTACTTTAACCCTTCTCAAAGCTGTGTGCCCTAAAGGCTTTAAGTCATTTGTCAAAAACTGCAAAAACGGCTTACGGAAAACTCGCTCATACGTCCACAAATACACAAATACAAACGCAGACACAAAAACAGAGAATTTCACACTTTCTTATGCAAATTTCGTGCTTACTCTCATGTTTTTGAGGCGATATGAGGGAATCCAAACAAATATACACACATATACTATATATAACTTTGGGGCAGCTGGGAACTGCCGATGGGAGCATTTCAAACACGTTGCTGTCAACTTCTTCACACATTAAGCCTACTTTATTTTTGGTTCTTGTCAGATTAAATTACTTTGCCAGATGACAAGCGTTGAAATATCATGGGCCTGTACTATTGAAAGAGGCGCAAGTTAACGTCATTTCCTGAGGGAAAACACAAATCAAATGCATGTCAAACACAGCAAATCAATTTCTGGCATCTTCTACAAGTGAATTTCTTACTAAGTAAAACAAAATACTGGTCTTTGTGTCTGGCAGCAATTTTGACAACTCTGCTGTCTCGAAATAAACCAAAAAAAAATAAAAAATTCAAACAAACCTATTACATGAAAATGTAAATAGCCTATAAAATGTATTTACATAACAGATCTGCAAGTGTTTATATTACAAATAAAGTTAATTTATTGTATACAAATATTTCAATTACAGGGCATCCCCAAATCGTCCACTTATCCGTTACTATAACACGAGAAGGTGCCGCAAATGAAATATCCTAATCAGTCGAAGAAAGCTGTCAACTCAATTACTTAAGCCCAAAATAGGTTTTAGCTACAGCTATAACTAAATGCACAGCTACTTTCCAACACTGGGTGGCTGTGGTAGAGAAAGTGCATTATCTTGTTCTGGTGAAAGGGATGAAATAAAATAGGAGCCAGGTGTAACCGCACCCGTGCTATTATAAAACCTTATAATTGAATTTTTTATAATTCGCTGAGCTGGGCAACCAACCATCGAAGTGAAACATCTCCAGTCCAGCCCAGCCCAAAGTGGTCGTCGGTTTTTTGCTATCAAAGGTGCTGGCCTCCATCTCCATTTACTTGGGACACATAAAACACTGCCGGCGCACGGCCAAAAACACGGACATTTAATAGTTGCTGCTATAAATTCGCCCGCTCCTTGATACAATTAGGAAAAATGCTTGGTATTGGATTCTGGTACATCGCTGATAGCCAAACGTGGTAGCTAGTTGGTTTCTGGTTCTCTTTATTGCTTTTGTGGGAAAGTAACGCAAATTGAAGTCATTAGTTTTTATTTTGCTTTTGGAGGCGATATTAAATGGATGTTGTTGGTTAACCTAAAGTCAATTGGAAAGTTTATTGCAGCAGTAAATGAAAGCAGATATTTCTAAAAAATTATTTTTTCCGTTAATAATTTTATAATTAAAAGCTAAAATTCAATTTAATGCAATCAAAAAGTAAGAAAAACATTTACTGCGATAATAGAAAATCTTATATAAACAACGCCTATTCTTGGCCATTTTATTCAGAAGAATAGAACAGAATATAATTTCAAAATAAATGTTGAAAACAAATAGTGTTTCACAAATATTTTATTTAAATTTGTTAGCATAGAGTTTTTATATTTTAAACCAATCAGAACGAATTTCAACTTACTAACTTTCTATTTATTTTGGTCTATACGTAGTTGATCAATTAACGTCAGTTTGTCAGTCAATTTTATGTAAGGTGGTGGAAAAGAAATTATGTAACCCACATTTTCAGATCAAGATCTTTGATACTATAATCAATACTGTGCGATATGTTGCTCAATTCACAAAATTCAAAAATATTTTTGGATAGCAGGCATATTGGAGTTTCGCCCAAAAGAGACAGAAGATAAATTGAAATAGACCATAGCCAGTTGCAGTTATTAACTTTCAGCCTCATAAATTTTAATTATAGTTGACATTATTACCCGCGCCTAATCATAAGTATGTGCAAACGGTGTACGACTGTTAGTCCCCATAAATTCGATATACGGTTACTGGCGGAGAAGAGTGTGATTCTAGTGGAGACGCCGGGTCATGAATCAGAAATATTTCTGCCCGAGTTACAGCACGGTCGTGTAACTTTATCGAATATCATCCGCAGCCGCCAGCCCAGCGTCCGTCCGAGTGGAGTTTGTTTGCATTCCACCCTGTCATCACACCCTGGTCAGCGACTGGCGAACCGTAAACTGAACACTACCATGTCGGACTTGGCGCCAAAGAGCTCTGGTCGAGACAGGAACGTCTCCAAGCTACGCTTCGAGCTCAAGCTCATTTCGAACGGGAACGTGGTGCTTGCGGAATGTAATGGCTATGAATCTGAGATTTTTCTACCTCATATTTTTAGCCATTGCGTTACCATGAAGCGCGTCTCTGCTGGTCAGCTGGCGCAATATGCGGAATGTCGGAAATCGAAGAGGAACCAGTCTTCATCTGAATCGGCCAACAATGCAGCTTCTACAGCGGCCGCTTATTTAGTAGCACACGCTGATAATCAAACGAAGCTACTGGTGAAACCAATTCATCTCATTATGAATACGTCAGATTCGCAGAATGAACAGAAATACCAAGAAAAGCAGATAGTGAACAATGTGAACAAGGGATCAAAAGTAAAGGTGCCGTCGGTTCAGTCAAAGAAAAAGCACCGCAAGCAGATCTTACATAAGGCAGCCGGTGATGCCTGACAGATTAAAACAGATTAGACTTATTTGTACCCCATTGTGCTCACACATTGCTCAGGCGCCAAGCTTCAATATTCAGTACCTGTATTCACACCACATCAATTTACAAAAAATCTTTATAGGGCACACTGATATTTCTCTGTCCATTAATGTAAAATTTATTTATTAAAATTTTTTTATTAAAGTTTTGTGTAAAGTTGTCATTTGGCCAGTTAGTAATGCATTTTAATAACAGACCATCCAAATTCTCCTTGAAGCTGTTGATGAACCAAAACGTTGTGTTGGTCGAGTATCCGGGCCGTGAACCTCAACTTTTCATTCCAGTCTTGCTCGATGACACTATCGTTTTAGAGAACATCATTTTTGACTATAATGGACCGCTGCCGAATAAAACGAAGCCAAAGTTGCCAGATCACCAAATGCCAATGCCAACCAAAAGGAACTCTGCACATTTAGGAATAGACAACAATCGACTAAATCGACGTCAAAAGCGTCTCAGCTCTGAGCAGATCGGTAATTCAGGCACATTCAACAGCGATATTGTCCAGTGGATCCGTACCGGTATTAGAACCATACCAAAGTCGAGCCGTAGATTGAAGAAGCTCTGTGCTCCAGTTTCTGGTACTGCTATCGCACCTTCAGTTACTGGTGTCCACCTCTTAAATTCGTGCCAAGCACATTACAAAGTTTACAGCAAGGCTACGACGAAGTATGATGCTATTCGGAAGGTTTTATTGACACCCTTGGTAAAGAATTAGTTCCATGAATGTCGCAGTATATTCAGTAAGCAATGATATAACGCTTCGAGACGAACTTGTCAATTGTTTTAAATTTTAGATTAAAGCTAACTGGCATTTTTTCTGGTTTTAATAAATTTATTATATATTTAACAATAATTACTTAACTAACTCTTTAAAACTAGACGACAAGACGTAATATTACAGAATATGATGTGTACTTGTCGAATAATTTGTTGACGAATGGCGTCGAGTCTGTTAAGCCGTTTCTACTGAGTTTACATAGTTTTCACTATTTGCATGACATCGCGAACAACCTATCAACCAAATTTGGTGACTGTAACTTTAAAATTGTTGTAGATATGTGGTTTTAACTCTTTGCGATTATCAGTCTTACCGATTTTCTAGCCTCCAATTGTCTGACGCGGGACCAGACCAGTGTACGAGGTGTGTTCAAAAAGTATCGCGAATTTTGTGTTTTTTCAGATATTATTTATTTATTCATGAATATCTATTTTGTCCCCTTCAAAGTAATCCCCATGAGATATTATACACTTGCGCCAACGGTTTTTCCAATCTTCGAAGCACTTCAAAAAATCATTTTTTTTTATCTTGTTCAGCTCCTCCTTCGATCCCGTCTTTATCTCGTCAAGCGTAGCGTAACGTCGTCCTTTCATGGGCCTCTTCAGTTTAGGGAACAAGAAAAAGTCACAGGGGGCCAGATCTGGGGAATACGGTGGCTGCGGCATCATTAGTGTGTTGTTTTGGCCAAAAAGTCGCGCACAAGCAACGATGTGTGAGCAGGGGCGTTATCATGGTGCAAAAGCCAATTTTTGTTCTTCCACAAATCCGGGCGTTTCTGGCGGATTGCTTCGCGCAAATTGCGCATAACTTGCAGGTAATATTCCTTATTGACCGTTCTACCCTGTGGCAAGAACTCATGATGCACCACGCCCCTGCAATCGAAGAAAACTGTCAGCAAAACTTTCACATTCGACCGAACTTGGCGCGCTTTTTTCGGTCTTGGTTCGTGCGGCAGCTTCCATTGAGATGATTGAGCTTTGGTTTCCACGTCGTAACCATAAACCCACGATTCGTCACCAGTTATGACCCTCTGGAGCGAATTTGGGTCGTCGCGGACAGAGTCCAACATCTCATTAGCAATGTTCATGCGATGCTGTTTTTGGTCGCAATTGAGCAATTTTGGTACGAATTTCGCGGCGACCCGTCTCATGCCCAAATCATTGATAAAAATCGAATGGCATGAGCCAATCGATATGTCTAGCTCCTCAGCAACTTCTCTAACGGTGATTCGACGATTGGCCAATACCATTTTCTCCACTCCATTAATTTTTTCGTCTGTTGTTGAAGTGCTCGGGCGTCCGGCACGCTCTTCGTCGTTCACATCTTCTCGGCCTTCTGAGAACATTTCGTTCTACCGATAAACGTTGCTTCGGTCCAAGGTAGCTTCTCCGTATGCCACAATCAACATTCGGAATGCATCCGCGCACTTAATTTCGTTTTTCACACAAAATTTGATACAGGTTCTTTGATCCATTTTTTTGAATAGGTAAAAATCGAAGACGATCCAAAACACGTGCAAGCAAAGCTGCTGTCAACAATTAAGTGAACATTCAAAATGGCCGAGCTTATCGGCATAAGTGAGAGACATGAGTACCAACATAACGCTACAAAAAAATCGAAATTCGAATATACGTAACCCGCGAAAATTCAAAATTCGCGATACTTTTTGAACACACATCGTATGTTCTAAGTTTTAAGTCTCTATCTCTAAGTTCATACAGACGGACATATGGACAGAGAGCATGACGGAAATTACTCGTTACCTTCAGTATCAGATTATGAAAAGGAATGGCGAATATCTTGGAAACGCCGAAGATCAAATTCCCTTGTATGCCGGAGTTAACCTACCGACATCTAAATTTTAGTTAGGTCTACGAAATCTGTACATGTAGAGACAGTCTACAAAATGTAAAAGATTAAGATAATAAATAAATAAATAAATTATGAAAGTTAAAAAATTGATTTTAAAATAATTGGTATAACAAATTAAACGAATAGTGTAAAGTATAAAATAACTGAACGACGGAAGTAAAACGACGGATATATTAAAAATTGCATCATTATAGCTTTATAACTGAGTGAATTATACTTATACGAGTATACACAAAAACAAGACAGCCGAACATGGCTATATCAGCTAGACTAATGATTCTGATGAAGAGTATTTATAGACTAATACTATAATTTTTCACAATATCGGCAGACGCAGTTGCTAAAAAATATTTAAAAATATTGTGCAATCGCAGTATGAAATACACTCTGACACTCTTGCATAGTACTCTTGTGAAATACCTGCATAGTACTTGTTTTCATAACACGTCAGCTGTTAGGCTTGTGTTAGCTCAGTTCTAATGCACGAAACAAAACCTGTCCCGAGTGCAAAACAACAAGCACTCTAGTTTGTTTTTTTTTTCTTTATCTCTATATAGAGAGCGATTGGTTAGTCATGGGGCTTCCAGAGATACGTGGCCTTAGATTACGACAGTACATTTTTATTTGTATACTTCCAATTGCAAATCAGTCTCGCATTCAAAACAAAACGCGTTGGATCGCAAAAATGAGCTCGTTAAACATTTTCGATTTAAACGATGATTGTCTAGATTTGTTACTAAACTATCTGACATCCGAGGAACAGATTCTTTTTGCCCAAGTCTGCAAGCGATTTCGTGAGGTGTTCATAGCTTGGGGTGTAAAACATTATCGCGAATTTGGAATCGACGCTAGCAACACAAAGCAGTCGATAATCGGTCTAAGCACTTGCCGTGAAGTAGTCGAGACACTCATCATCGATATGGATCACTTTGACACTGCTCGAATATTTAGGAACTATGGATGTGACGAGCCCGTCATTTGTTTCAATATACTTTGCTACGCCTTAAGTGGCATGGTCAACCTGAGGCGTTTGACAGTGAAACAGCTAGATTATGTGACTACTCCAATTAAAAAACCATTTGAGCAAATATTTGCCTCTGTTAAGGATTTAAATGACCTAAAAGTCTTAGAAGTACATGCGAAAGATGGTATGTATGTAATTCCTACACAAATTCATAAGCCGCCGTGCCCGACTAGAAGATATCCAGCACCTTCTATGCTAATATCTATAAACATTTTCGAAATATTCTAATGATCCTTTACATTAGAAGGTCCAATGATCCTCTACATTAGAAGGTTTCGAAAACATATCTTGTAAAATAATCGGTGTATGCTATGTAAAATTTGGAAATTTTATAACATTTGATTTCAAGTGTAAAATTAAAAAAAAATTTGTTGGCTTCACATGCAGATTGGACATTTGACACACTATGGCAGCTGCATCACTTGGAGGAGCTGCAATTGCAAATACAAAAAATATATGGAGAAGTTCTGGTTGAATGCTGTAAGTCAAATCCCAATCTTCGTCGGTTGCAACTGGGCTATGGCATTGTCGTGGGTAATCTATGTGATATTGTGCGCCATTGTGCAAACCTGGAAACGCTTGAGTTTGGCATGATGGAAACGGATTTTGCTTACAAGCCGCTTTCTAGGGTGCCCAGGCTGAGACAGCTAATCCACAAGGGCGCTCGGGAGAGTAACTCCTTGATGCCCCTGCTAAAGGCACTTGCTGTGCAACCGCAACTGCAACAGCTACACATCGATGGAGGCATCCTAACTCCACAGGAGATTTTGCAAATTGTTCGACAGCGCGGATTGCTGCAGCTGAAGTGCTTCTGCTCGACGGCCGAGTGTGTGGAGATGCTGGCGCAGCTAATACAACTGCAGAAGCTGAGCATCTGGGTGTCCAACGGGTGTGACATTTCTGATGCCCTACTTAAGGTTATTGGCCAGTGCAAGAAGCTGCAGCTACTTCGGATTGCGTCGGGAAACCTGAAACCAGATTTTATTTATAACGTCTCAAAATTGTTGCTCGATTTGAGAACTGATACGCCACAAGAATCACTCCATCTGGAACTTCCTCCATCCAACTATACGAAGTCAATTGAGGTAAGAAGCTAATATTTGTATAAATTCACATTTGATAAAATATTAACATCACTTTTTATTCTTAGAACTTATCGCCACAAACTAAGGTTTTAAGCTTTTCGGAATTTGAGATGTCTTCCTGGAAACTTTGAGTTCCGAAATGTTGTTCCCAAATATTCTAAAGACAGTATTACCAAATGAAATGTGCGTGTTTCGTTGACTCGCTAATGTCCTGAGCACATGTGGCAGTCTCACATCCTTCCAGTGACTATGCTATCGTCACGTTTTAGCATTTAAATTTAAATGTTTCACCAAAGAGGGAAAAATCCGACTGCAAATTCGCTTATGCCTAAATGAAAATTGTTTCCGGAATTATAAAATTACTTTGTAAACCATGCAAAGCATTTATGTTTATGAAATTAATCAATTCCATTTTTATACCCTTATGGATTATAATTATAAATTTGTCGTGAAATTTGTAAGGCATTAAAGAAAACGTTTCAGAGCCCTTAAGGCATTTAGCTTTAAAACTTTGGGAGTTCAGCCCATTCTAATAATTTGTCTAAAAAATGGAAACCGACAGACAAGGCTAGAATGAACCGGCTGATGATCGTGATCAAGAATACATATACTCAATGGCATCTGCGATGCTACGATCTTGGTTAAATTTAATAAGATTTTCAAAAATAAAATACTTATTATTGGATATATTAAAAAGCACACCAACTTATCCACAAGCCAATACAAATATATTCAGTTATTAATTTATTTATATATTAAATGTAGACTAATATAAGGCGATATAGAAAAATAAAACAAAAATTAATTAAAATAGGTAAAATAAAAATAAAGAACAAACTTTGTATTTGGTATAATTTTATATGACTATAATTTACTTGTTCTGTGAAAAACATCCCGCTTCATGTCTCTCACAACAAATTGGATGGATATAAGTTGGTGACAAAGCATTGTATTCCATGTCCAGGAAGAAGTACAAATAAAGAACATTGACTTAATTGAGTCATTCGTAACCGAGAATCAATTTTATTAACCACATTCTGTATCCACAATGCAGCCAGCGAAATTAAAATCAAATTAAATGAGTAAATTTAACATTCCCATTGTCGTTGATGAAATCTCATGCGTGTAACATGATAATGTATGTGTAAGTGTTTGTGTATAATGATGATGCTGTAGCTGCCGGTGTTTGTCAGTCAGAGGGAGAATGGAGTATCAATCGTTGGCAAGAAGGGCCATCAGTCAGTTGAGCAACAGCCATTGCTTATTTGTTTCGATTTAAAACAGTTTTTCTGTTCTTCCGCATGCTGGGCACGCTTTAACACGTTCATATTGAATTAAACGTTGCAGCGAGCAGAACGGCAACATCACAGATAGCAACAATAGCGAGCACAGCGACACCAACACCAACAGCAACAATAATAACAATAACATCAACAAAAACAACTGCAGCAGCAGCAGCAGCATGGTGAAGCTAAAATCAACAGACATTGTTGCTGAAAATTTCCTTTTGTGTAAAAGGCAACTGCAGAGGGAAAGCAAAAGCCGGAAAGTGAAACGAGCTCTTTCTGAAGTGAAAGAATAACAGCAACAGGCAGTCAGTAAAGCACAACAATGGCAACAATGCACTTAAGACAACCCTGATATCATTATGTACTACACATCAACTTATTATTCCAGATTTGCATTCGCGTTCTTCCTTTTGACAGTAAAATGTTAATTGAAATGCAATGGATTACAACAGATACATACATGTTCAAATATACCACTAGCGAAATTTCGCCTGGTCTTTTACAATTGTACTACGTCAGACTCGATACCCTCAACAGGACACAAAATATTTATATGAATGGATTACAACAATATGAAAAGAGAGAAGCACAGAGAAAATAATAATACATTAATTGAAATTAAATAATATAATTTTTTAACAAAAGTGCACTTTTTCTTGATTAAAATATTTCTCGAATCATATAAAACTGTCTTACAAGATGAGATTTTTAAATTCATATTGCCATTTGCAGACTTTGTTCTTCTAGTATCCACAAGCATCCTTGATAGAATAGAGGATCCAAATTAAAGAAGCTTATTTTCTTATTTCCACAGCAAACACAAATATAGCATACAATCGCAAGTGCTTTAAAAAATATGTATATAAAATCCTACTGCCCCCCTAAAGTGAGATTGCGAAAAAAAAACCCAGCTAAAAGAACCAACAACGTATAACTGCTAATCTGAAGAATAAAAGTGCTACCTCAAAAGAGGAAGAAAAAGAAAAATGCTGCGTCCAAAACAAAAAGCTAAAATTAAGCCATGCCTTTGTTTTGACCTAGTTATCATAAAAGACACTGCTCGTGAACACTGTGCACGTTGACTGTTAACTTGGATGACATTTGCTGTCTTTACAGTTGCCTGTACTTTAATTTGATCAATAAAGTTCAACGACGGCCTAAAGCAGCGGCGATGTCACCATGAATATTTTATGGCAATGTGTGAAGCCGCACATTATTAATTAAAATTGCTTCATGAACAAGAGTAGCAATAACAACAACATTGGTAGCAACAGAGTGCGCGAAGTTCAGGCAAACGAGGCGGCAGTAAAAACTTCCAATTACTCAAGCGAGTCCTTCAACATGAACAGCAGCAGCAGTAACAACCACCACAACAACAACATCACATAAAAATGTATGCTTACATGCGCGTATTTATGTACAAAAATTTTCGTGTGTGTGTGTGTATGTGTGTGTGTGTGTGTGTATATATTTGCATTTAATATCCTTTTCTTTGAATAATTCATTCATACAGCGTTGACCAATAACTGAAGAAGAGCAACAACACACACAGAAATCACAAGGCACGTCTAAAGTGTTTTCTGACCAAAGGGGTTCCCTTTTATTGATGTTGTTCCTCCTGCGGTTTTTGTTGCTGTTGTTATTTTGAATGCATGCCGCAAGTAAAACTGATTAATTGGCACTCGTGTTGTGGTTACCAGCGGTTGACAGGATTCACGGGCTCATCCAAAGCGCGCCGTTATTCAAATTTTTGAGCAGACATAATTTAACAACTGTTGTCCAGAGATCCTCAGTCCCTTCGGACATTGGCCGTTGGTAATCCACTCAAATAACAAGCAAGAACAACAATAGATACACCATCCAAACAATGCTGACAATGACAGCAACAAGATTGACAAACATGACGGCTGAGTAGCAGTAACCAGATAATACCCTTCAGATAAATAGAGGTATACTTCAAGTTAAATAAATAATAAACGTTCGTTGAGTTCGTTGAAATACATATGAGCTCAACTGCTGTTCAAACCTATTCTTGTTAATATTCTTTGGTTCTTTGGAACTGGCCAATTTTAAATGGATGCATATCCAGCTCTTTACTTGGTTACCTTTAGTGTAGGGTATATTGTGGGTAACTGCGTATGTCATTGACTGACTGACATCCTGGGCACATAAGGCAGTCTCTTATCCCCCCAGTGACTGCGCTATTGTCACGTTTTAACATTTAAATTAAAATGTTTCGCTTAAGAGAGATGGAAGGATGGCTGCAAAAATTTGCTTACGCCTGGCAAGGCACAACGAAAAGTAAAAATAAAAAATCACAGCTACATCCCTTCAAAAAATAAAAACAAAACAAAGAAATGGAACAGAAAAGTGAAAAAGAAAATAAAAATAACAGCGCTGATTTTTTCGCTGTCCTGTTTGGCGCTGTCTTTTGCAGTTGGCGCGTTTTCCAGCTGCACTTGAAAGCCTCCTTGTTGGCCATCACTGCCAGTGGCAGTGGCCTATTTGGCGTTGGGCATCGCCAATGCATTCGCCATTCCCAACGCCAACGCGAACGCCATCTACATTTATTCTTCTTCTTGTTCTTGTTCATTTATTCAATGCCGCAATGTTGCCATCAACAGTGTCGGCCACACGGCGTATCAGCGTTATTCGAGGAGGCTTACACGTTATATACAACAAGAGCTTTTCAGCTCACTTCATCCAAAAGGATGAACAAAATGGTCTTGGTAAATTGCATAAGGCCATTAAGATATCTATACGTATATTTCCATAGTCATCTTAATTCTAGTAGCCAATAGCGGTGTTCTTTAAGCTGTCACAAATATTCCACTCGATTTGTAGAATGATTATGATTTATTTTTACTAGTCAGTCAAATTACATTTTCCTCTATTTCTTTAACATATTTTTAACGTGCACCGCTTTGCAATTATATTTAATAACAAATTTGTTCACTTAAACTATTTGACGTAACATTCAATGCCATTCGCTGCATCCGTATCCCTCGAATTAAGCACTTTCATTAAGTAACTGCAATCAGCCAAGAAATTATCAGGCAACATCTGGTGCCTCCTTAACATTGTGACCTGCCGTGCGATATCTTAATGCACTTTTAATTGAGCAGCGACCTGCAAGCACTGAGCAGCCATCTGTCAAGTACGATGGTGAAGGGCGAAGTGTGAATCGCGAAGGGGTGCAAATTGAGAAGAAGTGAAAATGAAAAATTATAATTAAGCTTGCCATTAGCAAGAGCAAACATCCAGATGCTGTTGCTGTCGCTGTCGCTGCAATACCACTCTTCATCCCCTAGCATCGATTTAGTCATCTAATTAATAGCCAATGACATGCAAAATGCGTATACGCCATGTGCTACAATAAGTTAACATAAATTATTGAAAATCAAAATTAATGCGCGAGTTGTCATGTTCATGCGCCCAACTCCCACCTGGCCTGAAACTGAATTGATTAATGCGAATCTGCTAAAACTGTTGTCCACAGTTATTATTTTACCGAGCATGGACATCTCGTACTCATATAGACATGAGTTCATAACTATTTTTTACGAGTTTTTAGTTTCAGAGTGTAATCAAAATAATATTTTCAAATTGTGTATGTATTATTCTTTTTGCCGGCTATCTGATAACGTTCCAAGTATATACTACGACACTTATTTTTCGTGTAAGTTTAAATAAATAAATAACACAAACTAATAGCAATGTGTTGAGTATAATGCCACATCAACTACTATTTTTTTATAATATTATAAATTTACGTATATATATTGATTAGAACTTAAGCCATGCTAGTGATAAATATTTATTCTCAACGCAATTGACGTGCGAAGAGTAGTACGCACTTATTTACAGCATTTTACTGACAGGCCTTCTGTGAGTAGCAGCTGTCAGGAACAAAAGCGAATAAATTGTATTTTACCAAATTCAATTACCAAATGATTTGTTTTTACACATAGTATATGTTTTTTTTTGCCTTTTGTACCCTGTATAAGAACAGGCTCCTAAAGTGTTCGTAAGTTGTATGTACGTAAATTAAATACATTTACACTTTTAAAGCTTAAAGTCCGAGTGCAGGATATCTTCAAGTCAATCACTCGAGACTTCGTATTTATTATTATAGTCTGATACCGAAAAAGATTCATTGCTACCTGTTATCATCTGGTATATCACTGGTAACAGAGTATTACGCAGTTGGTTATGTCCGCCTGAAACGTTCTCACTTTTTTTTTTGTATGCTCGGGCAGTCAATTGCCCAAATTTACACGCACGTACTACGTACTGCAAATTAGTGAATGTTCTGTAGTCCGAATATTCGCATGAATGTCTCCGCCTGTCGTTGATTTTGATGGAATTCATTTCTATGCCTTTTGGACTCTCGTAAATGTTGGATTTAGATGGTCATAAAGGTCTTGTTACTTGCAGATGTCGACATGAGCAATCAATTAGTATATGACAGTTGTTATGCTTGTTTTTTTCTCTTTAATCTATTTTAGTTACATACATGCACTAAATTGAGTTTTAGTAGTGCATAAGAAATGAGAAATTTTTATTATTTAATTAGTCTAGATAACTTTTAGTATAAACGACCAACTCGAAAGTTGCTTAGCTCATTTCCACAAATAAGCTTCAGATACATCCGGTATAAATTTAATCTATAATAGTATAAACGAATAATTCAATAACCGATTAGTGGTTTGGGAGGTTGCTTTTTTTATTTCCAAAAATATACCTGGCATAGTTCCGTTCTTAACTGTGCCATAATAGAGCGATAATATATTATAAGGTTATTTAAGAATTTATAATAAGAATTTCTAACAACAACAAAATTGGAAATCAGATAAGCCAGATCGTCAATATATGGTGACTTAGTGACACAATAAGTTGCGGTCACTGTAGATTGACTCACAATACTATTGAATAAAATCAATGTGAAGTTGATTTTTCATCAAATATTATGGTTATGTTTTGGACCATGGCCAGAAAATGCGTATCTGCTATAAACACCTCATTATCAGCAATAAATAAAAAATTGCGATTAATGATACATTTTGATAGCGATTATATTGACATAGTCGTGTGACTTATAAGAAAGTTCTAAGCCTGCGTAAGGCATGCCATAACACACTCATACCCCGTGCTATGAGGTGCTACGTGACTGTGTTCCTAATTCTGAAGCTGCTGGTCAGCTTCAGTTTGGCCGCTAAGCGTTTACCGCGTGTGTTGCCCCACGTGGAGGCTAATCCAGGTGTTCCCGTGCATGGCGATTGCGAGTTTCATGTGAACGGTGATCTCAATGATCCAGCGCCACTCTTCGCGCGACACAACTTTTTCGAGCTCATTGTGCCCGATCCCACGGACACAGTGAGTCTGACTAATGGCGAACTGTTCGATATGTTTTGTCCAGGTGCGGGCTTTGCGGCACCCTTCGAAAAACGAACCCAGCTCACTGTGCAGTGTTTGCAGCACAAGTACTTCCTGGTCGACGGGCTGATCTACCCCTTTATGAACTTCACCTGCGCAGACTGGCCCACCTTTACGGCCCTACGCACTGGGCGAGAGTGCAATGGTGGCACTGATCTAGTAAAGGTAGGCTTCCAACTGGATGACGATGGCTTCCTGCAAACCTACGATGTCTGTCACGATGAGCTTGCCGAGGTCACACGCTACGTCCACCATGTGCTGTATCCCTCCAGCTATGACTATCAGCATGGTGTAGCACGTCCAAGGTTTGTGGAGTTAGACTTCTATGGTGGTCGAGATGTGAATACCAAGTATACGCAAAAGGAACAAAATATCACAATTAGCGATATTCTGGGCATGGATGCCTCTCCCTATTTCAACTACAGCGAAGATCTCTTCTTAGCTCGCGGCCACATTGTCGCTAAAACGGATCAAATCTTTGGAGCAGCGCAAATGTCCACCTTTCTGTTCATAAATGTGGCTCCACAGTGGCAGACCTTCAATGGTGGTAACTGGGAGAAAGTTGAATCGAGCGTTCGCAAATTTGTGGCTGATCGGAATCTCACGGCTGACTGCTATACAGGCACCTGGGGTGTCTCGACTCTGCCCGATGCTAATGGCATCGAGCGCGAACTTTATCTCGACTTTGATGAGAACAACAATGGACTGATACCGGTGCCCAAATTGTACTTCCGTGTTATCATAGATCGCGAGAATCGCGAGGGTATCGTTCTGGTGGGTGTAAACAATCCTTATGTCACTCTTGAGCAAATACAAAGCGATTACATTCTGTGTGAGGATATTGGCCATCGGCTGAGTTGGGTTTCCTGGCTGAAGGAGGACCTGCTTGAGGGCTACTCATATGCCTGTACAGTCGAAGATTTCACCGAAGTGGTTAAAGACTTGCCTCTTGAGGATCTGCACACGAATGGTGTGCTAGGTTTAGATGATATACCTACGACAGCACCTCCTGAGAGTACCACACAGGAGCCAAGCACCACTGGCGTACCCTCGACAACACCTGCTGATAGTACCACAGTGGAGCCAAGCACCACATCAATACCCTCGACCACACCTGCTGATAGTACCACACAGGAGCCAAGCACCACATCAGTACCCTCGACCACACCTGCTGATAGTACCACACAGGACCCAAGCACCACTGGAGTACCCTCGACCACACCTGCTGACAGTACCACAGTGGAGCCAAGCACCACTGGAGTACCCTCGACAACACCGGCTGATAGTACCACACAGGAGCCAAGCACCACTGGAGTACCCTCGACTACACCTGCTGATAGTACCACACAGGAGCCAAGCTCCACATCAGTACCCTCGACCACACCTGCTGACAGTACCACAGTGGAGCCAAGCACCACATCAGTACCCTCGACCACACCTGCTGACAGTACCACAGTGGAGCCAAGCACCACTGGAGTTCCCTCGACAACACCTGCCGATAGTACCACACAGGAGCCAAGCTCCACATCAGTACCCTCGACCACACCTGCTGATAGTACCACAGTGGAGCCAAGCACCACTGGAGTACCCTCGACAACACCTGCCGATAGTACCACACAGGAGCCAAGCTCCACATCAGTACCCTCGACCACACCTGCTGATAGTACCACAGTGGAGCCAAGCACCACTGGAGTACCCTCGACAACACCTGCCGATAGTACCACACAGGAGCCAAGCTCCACATCAGTACCCTCGACCTACACCTGCTGATAGTACCACACAGGAGCCAAGCTCCACATCAGTACCCTCGACCACACCTGCTGACAGTACCACACAGGAGCCAAGCACCACTGGAGTTCCCTCGACAACACCTGCCGATAGTACCACACAGGAGCCAAGCTCCACATCAGTACCCTCGACCACACCTGCTGATAGTACCACAGTGGAGCCAAGCACCACATCAGCACCCTCGACCACACCGGCTGATAGTACCACACAGGAGCCAAGCACCACTGGAGTACCCTCGACAACAACTGCTGATAGTACCACACAGGGGCAAAGCACTGCCGTACCCACAACAACTGATACACCCGTCACCCCAACTTCAGCTCCAATTTCTAAACAATGTCACTTTAGTCTCACTACCGATCTGAAGGATCCAGCACCACTGCTCACACCAGAGGGCTATCTAAGATGGCTGTTGCCCAATGAATCGGGGGTATACATCGTAGATGATGGAACCAGTATTGATATGCACTGCACTGCAGCAATGGCAGCACCCTTCAATCGATATACCGCACTGACGGCACACTGCCTGGGCAATCAGATTTACGAGGCCGAAGGTCTTGAGGTTGACGTCCGGTCCTTTAGCTGCCAAACGTGGCCGACCTATGAAGCCATGCGCACTGGCAAACCCTGCGCAGGCGGCACAGAGCTCCTCCAGATTGGCTTCAATGTGGCGGCAGGCATGTTGCCACATTTAGAGATTTGCTATGATGAGCAGACGCAGATCACACGTTATGTACGATATGAGCTGACTCCAGCGAATGTTGCCTATCAGCGCAATGTGGCACAACCGGGTTATATTCGTGCCGGTTTCTATTCGAACAAGGATGTTAATATGTTCTACGGCCAAGCCCATCAGCATGAGGTTTTGAGTGAAACTCTGGGCATGGATGCCAGCATATATCTCGACAGCAGTCGCGATTTATATTTGACACGCGGTCAGCTCGCTGCACGTCAGGATTTCGTGCATGGTTCGGAGCAGCGGGCCACTCACTTCTATGTGAATGCGGTGCCGCAATGGAGAAGTATTACCATCGGTAACTGGCTGGCCGTGGAGCGTAGTCTGCGCCAATTTGTGGCCAACGAAGCACTCAATGTCAGCGTCCATGCGGGCAGCTGGGGTGTTTCCACACTGCCAAATGCCCACGGACAACAGACGGAAATCTATCTGGACAGCAGTGAGAAACAGTTGCCTGTGCCGCGTCTTGTTTATCGCATTGTGATCGATCAAGTGAGTCGCAAGGGCATCGCCCTGGTGGTGGTCAACAATCCACATGCCAGCCTGGCCGAGACGCTGCAAGACTACGTCGTCTGTGACGATATAGGTGCTAAATTAAATTGGCTAGACTGGGAAAAGACGGAGCTAATGGAGGGCTATTCCTATGCCTGTGATGTAAATGACTTTACTGCTGTTGTCAAGGATCTACCATTGGATGACTTGCATACCACTGGACTGCTGGGTGTATCTGAAGGCGATAAGGATTCGGTATGCAATTTCAAAGTAAATGGCGATCTGAAAGATCCCGCACCACTTTTTGTGCTACGTGATGCAGAGGGCAAGGCAGAGTATCTGCAGCCGAATGCGCAGGGTGTGGTAGAGATGAAGCATGGCGAGACTTTTGAGATGCACTGTAGTGGCACAAAGGGCTCGTTTACGGGTCACTTTGCAGACACTGCTTGGCTAAATGCCAGCTGCTGGCAAGAGCATAGCTTCCTGGTGCTAGGCAGTGTACATCAGCTTCAAGATTTCGTGTGCAAGTCCTGGCCAAGCTATACGGCCAGACGCACAGATCGCTCATGCAATGGCGGCACCAATCTGCTCGAGGTGGGCTTCCAGCTGGCTAACGATGGTGAGCAGTACGATGATTTCCTACAGACCTACGATGTGTGCCACAATGAGCTGGCTGAGGTTACACGCTATGTGCACCATGTGCTCAATCCAAGCAGTGCACAGTATCAGCGCTCTGTTAGCCGGCCCAGCTTCATCACGGGTGACTTCTACGGAGGCAAGGATGTGAATGGCAAGTACACGCAGGTCCAACAGAATATCACAATTAGCGAAATTCTTGGCATGGATGCTTCGCCGTATTTCGATATCAGCGGCAATGTGTATCTGGCCCGTGGACATCTATCTGCAAAGACCGATTTTATCTTTGGAGCTGCACAGCAGGCGACCTTCTTCTTTGTGAATGCGGCTCCTCAGTGGCAGACCTTCAATGCTGGCAACTGGGAGCGCATCGAGGATAGCGTGCGAAAGTTTGTTGCTGATGAGAAAATAACGGTTGATTGTTACACAGGCACGTGGGGCGTCTCCACGCTGCCCGATGTGAACGGTGTGCCCCAAGAACTGTATTTGGACTTTGATGAAAACAACAATGGACTGATACCGGTGCCCATGTTGTATTTCCGTGTGATTATCGATCGAGATAGCCGTAAGGGTGTTGTGCTTGTTGGCGTTAACAATCCACATGCCAGTCTACAGCAAATTCACGACGAATACATTATCTGTCCCGATATTGGAGATCAGATAAACTGGATTAGTTGGACTAAAGAGGATCTGAAGAAGGGTTATTCATATGCCTGCACTGTGGAAGATTTTACAGAAGTTGTCAAAGATTTGCCACTGGATGATCTGCAAACGAACGGAGTTTTGGGAATTTCGACTTCGTTTCTTTAATCGAAATCAATATTACAACTTAAGTTAAGACCTTGAAATAATCAAAAAGGTTCAGCATACAATAAATAATATACAAATTATAAGTTGACCAGTGATAATTATTCTTTATTTTTAAACTGATAACTTGAACTATGGGTATTTCCAACACTATTTAATCTTCTCCCATGCCACACGTTACCCATTAGCTGCTCAAAACATTACTTATCAGCACATACTAATCTATTATTACTAAATGACAGAGTTAATTTTTATCTTATCTTCAAATTACGCTCGGAATTTTATTTATTCTATTGGGCATCCATTAATAAAGTACGAATCGGCATTAATATGTAAACCAACAAAATATTTGGTTTTGTTTTGGGTTTTTTTTAAGCACAATAATTAAATAATTTATATATAAAATACTGTTAAATAATGCATAACTATCTGGCATATTTTGACTATTCAGTTACTTTCAATTAAAATCAGTAATATTTTTTCGTATGTTAGAGCGAGATGGCTTAAATAATTCGATTATTTAGCTAATTCGTTTGTACTGAAAAAATTCAAACGCAGAAAACAAGTCAAGCATATCATTAAAACAATATAAAACGAAACCCTCTTTGACAGTAATATTCAGTAATGCAAACTTTGCAAACTTCTGTTGTGAAATATTCGAATCATGTTTATAAAGTGTCAGATAGGCTTTATGGCCTTTTGGTTGTTGGCCATGTTTATGGGCTCAACAGCTCATGTCAATGCCTATAGGAGTAAGTTTGATCTGTATTTGAAGCACCGACAATTTGCTTATCAGCAATCCTCTTATCAGAGTTTGGACAGGATTGTCGCGATATTACCTGTGCACCCACTGAGAGATGCATTCTATCCAACATAGCCTGCGAAAAGGATCAACAGAATGGCGAACACTGCGGCCTGTACCCCAAATGTATGGAGCGTTCGACGAGCGCAGGTGCGTAGCGAGTCCGTTTCGTATTGCATCATTAGCACCATGGCAATCATCTTACTGATCCGTTTTCAGATCAGCAGTATGATCGTTTCACGATCGACAGCACAGCCAACACTCGTAGTAGCATCAACGCACCCATCTCTAGTCCCATCACCAGCACGATCCAACTGAACACTAAGTCGGACGACTATATGGACACGGACAGTGGCTTTGAATTCATTAATAGCGATGCAGGCGCCAATTCAGTTATCAGTCATGCCGATCAGCGGCAGACAAACGTACTGGTCATTGTGCAGGATGGCACATGGCAGCCCAATCAAAATCCCAATCCCAATCGTAATCCGAACTTCAATTACAATAGGCAGCCTTGGCGACAGCCCTGCATTGTTAGTCCTTATTATCCTTATGCCTGCATGCCCGCCTCGAAATCAGTGCCAGCTTATGGCAACGCTCGAGGCTCGGGGTCAGGTCCTCAATTAGTGCCACCCACACCACCCTGCTATTTCAATTGCTATCCCCGGCTAACGGCTTGATATCAACTCTTTGCTTTATTTAAACATTTAGTGGCTAAAAGTGGTTCGTGTTTCTGCTTCTCTTTTACTCACCAGACTTGGATTCTGGAAGGCGAACTCGTCGTTCGCCTCAAGTGTTCTATCCTCCACCAGCACCGCTCCCAATGCTCCCACCGGGTGCAATTCCAGCACCACTACCACCTCAAATACAACCACGCCAAGTTCAGCCACGCCAAGTTCAGCCACGCCAAGTTCAGCGACAACAAGCACAGCCACAGTTGAATCCGTATATATCCTTCAGCTTGGCCTATCCCACATATCTGTACTATGGCAGACGTATAGCGATGGGTCGTCAGGCACAGCCTATGAACTCCTCGCCTTATCCTGGCTTTTATAATCCAACTCCGAATTATTACTCCTACAATATCAATTTGAATCTGCCCTTTGCGGGCACCGCTTCGACATAATACTTCTGACTTTTTTCTCTTGGCAACCTTCCCATCTTCCCAGATTCTCCAGACTTTATTGACATGGACTCAGAGTCATCAAACGCACTTCATAATCTAACCACACGACAAGTACCTATGCCGGGACCTAGACCTATGCCTATGCCAATGCCAATGCCTATGCCAGCACCAATGCCAGTGCCGAGATACCATCCTGTTCCCGTTCCTAGACCCTATCCAGGACGAGTCTATTATCCTCCCTGGCGCAGGCCTGTGCCCATGCCAATGCCTATGCGTCCTCCTTACTATATACGTCCTCCGATTGTCATTCTGCCAATTGGCATGGGGAGTTATGCTGGCGTGGGCTACAATACCAATCAATATTATGGGCCAGGCGGAGCGTATCCCGCTTATAATGCACCACAATTTACCACTCAGGGACCGATCTATGATTACTACAACAACAACTATAATTACAACAATTACGACAACAATAATAATAATAATTAAAATAATTATGGATAATCAGTAACTAAAGAAATACAAAATAACTTGATTTGTGAAATTCATTTAAAGAAATATCTACAAAATACTTTTTCCATAGTGTTGAATTCAAAAATAATAAATTTTTTTTAAATAAAATTATTGATTTCAGGTATTTTATTAGACAGAGTTAAGCGATCAATTCTTGGAGCTGACGAACAAGTGGGCGATAACGAAATTAGAGGCAATGGAACAGGTGTTGGTGCAAATGGCTATGGAATGGGTGTTGGTAGAATGGGAATGGGTCCAAGGAATGGAATGTGTGGAAATAGAATGGGTAATCAAATGGGTGGACGTGGAGGTATTGGAGTAAATCCAAATAATGGGAATGGGAATGGAAATCGATATGGAATGAACGGGAATGGAAATAGGAATGGAATGAATGGAAATGCGAATGATATGAATACAAATGGAATGAATGGTAACGTAAACACTATGAATCGTCAAAAACGGAACATAAACGGATTTAGCAAACATCGGAGGGCTGGACAGCAAGGTAATGGAATGGGTGACAATAAAATGGGTGGAAATGGAATGGGTGGCAATGGTATGCGCGGAAGAGGTGGCAGTGGTGGTGGAATGTGTGGAAATGGCATGGGCAATGGATATCAACTAGGAGGACAAGGAGGTATGGGCATGGGCCCCAATGGAATGGGCGGTAATAGAATGGGTGGCAATGGAATGGGACAAAATGGAATGGGACAAAATGGAAGGAGACAAAATGGAATGGGACAAAATGGAATGGGACAAAATGGAATGGGACAAAATGGAATGGGACAAAATGGAATGGGACAAAATGGAATGGGACAAAATGGAATGGGACAAAATGGAAGGAGGCAAAATGGTATGGGACAAAATGGAATGGGACAATCTGGCATGGGACAAAATGGAAGGAGACAAAGTGGAATGGGACAAAATGGAATGGGACAAAATGGAATGGGACAAAATGGCATGGGACAAAATGGAATGGGACAAAATGGCATGGGACAAAATGGAATGGGACGATATAGAACGGGCGGTAATGGAATGGGCGGTAATGGAATGGGTGGAAATGGAATGGGCGGTAATGGAATGGGTCAGAATGGAATGGGCGGTAATGGAATGGGTCGGAATGGAATGGGTCAAATGAGTGGACGTGTAGGAATGGGAAGTCAATACTCTTCATCCTCGATCAACGGCCAGCCCTACGCAATGCAGGCTGAATGGAATCATGGACAGGGATCAAATGGCGTCAGTGTGGAAGGCAAAGTCTCCGTTGGTAATACAATCCAAGAAGATGGCAGCACGACAATGCCACGCAGAAGGACAAGTACTACCGAATCATCACTCTCTAATTCCAAATAAATTAGTACATATATGTGTCTCATTGTTATATTTTGAATGCTTTAACCTATAAAGTTATCTTATTGGTTTTGGTTCTGGCATTTAATAAATGTTTATTAATCGCAGTAAATGTAACGCATATTAATAACCTTTAATAAACTTCTTTACGAATTGAACTTTACGATCACGTAACACCCGTTAAATAAAAGAATAAGATAGAAACAAAGGTTAGAGAAATGCAACCCCATAAAAATTAACATTTTATTTAAATAACAATGAACAGGCCTCATTCGGAAGTGTTTGAAAGCGTTCAAAGCACAACAATAAGTTGAACAATACTTGCGACACATAATGCTCTACACAAAATACTCTCACGTCGAATCTCAAAACCGGCTGTGTATCAGTTGAGAGAGAGAGAGAGGGAGAGAGAGAGAGAGAGAGAGAGAGAGAGCGAGAGAGAGAGAGCAGAAGAGATGGAGAAGTATCAACAGAAAACCACCTGTAGCTCCCGTAGATTGTTTATTAAGCTGTCTGACACCGCACAGAGAACACTTCGAGACCGGTGCGCTGACTACAATGAATAAATTCTGGATTGCTTTCTTTGTGATCGCGGCGGCGATTGAGATAAAAGCGCGCGAATCAATTAAGCCAGCACCAGAAGTGGGTCAAATAATCGGAGATATTGAGAATGTGCATGTGGAAGAGGTAATTCAGCGAGGTAAGTTTTATCAGATTACATTTTACTTGTAATACAAGTGGGAAAATTCGTTGCATCAGCATTAGATTAGCATATAAATATAATTTATTAAACTATGTGATAATATGAATACTTAATGATTACATAGAAAAAAAATAACAACAAAATCTAAATTAATTTCAAAACAAAAAAAGATCGAACGCTGAAGACAACATACCCTTCTCGATAAACATTCATTTTAGCTCGAAGCTCAAAATATTAAGTTTTAAAGAAATTTTTTTAAATTTGTAAATATTTTTCTTTAATTTTATTCTTCCAACTAGTATTTCGCATTTCATATATATTTATATTAAAAACAATATCTAATGGCTAATTTTTGTTTAATGTTTCTGCGACGCTGCCATATTATAGGTGCTCCTTGCACATTGAACATTGATAAGGATTTGCCCCGCTCTAATCTACAGCCGCTTTACCTGCAGCCCGACACTGACGCCTATTGGCTGCCCAAAGCAAATGGTCACCTGGAGATACCACGTGGCGCAAGCATCGAGCTCTATTGCATTGGTCACTTTGCGAATGTCAGCAGCGATGTGCATGTTCGGACCAGTTCCATAAGAGCACGCTGCCTGGAAGATAAAACCTTTGACTGGGCGGGCGGCAAGCGAGAGCTGCGCGATTTCATTTGCGCCCATCCACCATTCTACACTGTGGAGCGTATGGAGCAACAGCGATGCGGAGATGGCGATGTTGCCTCAGTGGCGCGCATCTATCGTGTGGGCTACAACATTAGCGCTGGGAGATTTGTGCGCACCCTGGAGCTGTGCCACGATGCGAAGCAGCTGCGTACACACTACGCTTTGCATCAGTTGCAGCCGGCAAACGAACACTTTCAGCACAAAGTGAATCGTGTTAAGTTCAGCGCCGCCGGCCATTTTCCTGGCTACGACATGGCCTATCTTTACTCCCCTGCAAATCAACAGAAGCGAGTAGCACAATTGTGCCACGACGAATGCATACTCAATACGACAGCGGGCCTCTTTCTGACACGCGGACACCTGGTGGCCAAGGCGGATCTGATTTATGCCAGCCAGCAGCGCAGCAGCTTCAACTATCTGAATGTGGCTCCGCAGTGGCAGAGCTTCAATGGTGGCCATTGGACCATTGTAGAGGAGGTAACGCGACGCTTTGTCGCACACTTCGGTCTCTCGGTGAGCGTCTATACGGGCGTTCATGGCGTGATGCCGCTACCAAATGCCGAACAAACCAGCTTTCATCTTGCCACGGATGCCAGCAGTGCTAACAATGGAGTGCTAGCCGTTCCACGTCTCTACTACCGCGTACTCATCGACAATGACAAACCATTGCGCGGCTTGGCTTTCGTCGGTGTCAACAATCCGTACGCCTCGCTAGAAGAGATCCGGAAGGCATATGTGATTTGTGACCCTGTGGAGCTACAATTTGGACGCTCCATGCGTTGGCTGCAGCATAAGGATCTCAAAAAGGGTTATGTGTATGCATGCAGAGTGTCTGACTTGGCCTTAGCCGTGCGCCATCTGCCACCTGAGTTGCAAAAAGTACACGAGCTTCTAGGCGAGTTATAAATTTATTTTGAATATAGTTATTGGTTTAAGTACGGTCATTTTAAAAAGATTTAAAAAATACTCAATTTAAAACATAAAAATTAAAATCTAACACCAAAATGTAAAGGTGACAGTTAGAAAGTAAACCATTTAAAAAACAGAGAAAAAATAATCCATTCACCTCAGTCAATCACGATTATATATTTATCGATAATACACCAATATTGAAAATTTAAATAAAGAATAAGAAGAATAAAGAAAAAAAAGAAGAATAATTTTAAGAGGGAATAAGGTGAATGTGCAAAACGTATTCTGATATTGAAAGGGGACAAAGTTTTTAGTAGATCTACTTGAAAAAGATTACAGATTCCAAGTATTATTTGTTCGTGTGTTAGTTGTCGTCTTGTGTATTTGTAAATTCAGAAAAAATATATGAATATTTTTCTCTTCTCAAAGAGAAATTTTTTTTTGTTTGTTATTTGTCATAAACTTGTTGTTTGCTCAACAAAGCAATTAAAAACGAAATGATGAAATATCTGTGGATGCTTAAGTCAACACAGATTACTTATGCACATATATATTTTACCGCCAGCTAACATACAAAATATAATTTTCATTTCGGAAAACCTCACGGCTCTACCACACCGGATCGAGGCAAAAGCGAGGAATTTAAACGTGCGGAAAGCAGTTGGAAGTACGTTTCAACGTTTTCAAATCAGTAAATGCAAATATATAAATGTATTGAAAGCTCAAATGGGACCGAATTCAAAACGATGGCGAAAGAAAAGAAAATTTATGCTAATACGCAAGAAAGGGGCGGAAAAAATTCAAGGACGCAAAATGCCGGAAAACGGCAACAAAAGCAACGCAAGATTTAAGAAATTGTGCCAGACGACTACGCTGCCATTGTATGTCTGTGTGTGTGTGTGTGTGTGTGTAAAGCAGAAAAAGGATTAAATCAATGTTGCGGAACAAATTGCGTTATGTGGGGTTTCTGCATGGAGGTAATATAGACCTATTTCATTTCTTCAAGCTAACAAGGCAAGACCATTATGGTGGTAGCCTAGTTGTAGACCACAACCGACGACCCAATTTGATGGTGTCAGACTCACACGAGCGTTAATAATGTGGAATACGATAAGAGGGAGGAGGTAGAGGTATTTGGAGCAAAGTCAAGAAAGAATGATATGATTGTCCGACACACATGAACAGGAAATGTATGTGATATTTCCTTTTTTAAGCACATTAAAATTCATTATATATACGCAAACTACAAACTGTTATATAATTGATACAATTCAAGTTTTGTGGTTTTTCCATTCATTTATTAATTTTTTGTTTGTTATTATTTGAATGAGAAACTTCCTTCACGAGATTATCAATTCGCAAGCTCGTTAAATTGAATACGAAACAAAGTTGTGTCTGTGAAACAATTTGAAACGTTGAAGAAATTGTTTTCTGCGCTCTTGGGTTTTCCTTTCAGGTTCATTTCATTTATTTTTGAACTGTCTACTATGTTGACTTTCATTTTTGTGGCAATAACGTTTCGCTTAAAATTCTTTGTAAAACAACAAATTTCTGCTTTTGTTTTCCAACACAGACTTATAAACTTGATAAAAGTTTATCTGCTTGGGAGGCGAGAGCAACAAAAAAAAAACATGTCCAAAGGCAATCAACAAAAAGCGAGCAGCAAAAAATGTAATTGAACGCACTTCACGCAGCTGTTGTCAAGGATATTATTATTGTGGTTGTTGTTGTTGTCATTGCTGTGTGTAAAAGGAGGATATGTCGTGTTCTGCGGGTCGCCAACGGAAATTATTATTTATATTTTGTATTCGGTTCGCGACATTGTTAGCACAACTTCATCTCCATGAACTTTTTAATACATATTGCCACTTCTCGGTAACCCCGTTTCATTTTTTGTTTTGCTTTGTTTTTTTCTTTCATTTCGATTAAAATGCATATTAAATCTCAGCAGACAAACATATAAATATAAAAAATTGGAAGCATACAAATAATATAAATAATTTCCTGTAACCGGCTCTCTGTTGTGCTCTGAACGCCTTGTTTCCTTCCGTTCGTACGGCCGTGCAACTATGTACCTACACTCGAATACACACTACTCCACACTGATCCCAATCCACTCCAATAGGCCACACAATCGGGCCAAGTCAGACGCATTGCATGCAAAAGGCAGCCAAGTTGAAATATTTTGTTAATTGTGCGTAGGTTTCCCAAAAGACAAAAAGTACACATGCCCATGTATATAACCATATATATATATATCTATATATATTGCTCCTTATGGGTTATTTACATGTGTAACGACAATGGGCGCTCCCAGAGGTGGGCCGGATTGGAATTGGGATTGGGGACACCGGCGCAAGACAGGCAGGAAGCACGCATGCAAGCGGCATGATTTGTATTGGAAATCTGAGGTATTCGTTAGCCTGCTTTTATTCATAACCGAATTTATTTCTTAAATCGATATGCAATGTGTGATTGAAAATGGGGTTTATTGTTTATTTCTGATAATACGATACGAGTTCTATTTGATTCGACACCAACTGCAGTTAACAACAATTTTGTTAATTTCACATAGCTTGAATTTAATTCAATACGAGGAATTCTGCTGTAAAATAGAACTGAGCAGATAACAAAAAGGATAAATGATGAACAAAGTACGTGCACACAATGAACAATGAATAAACACACACACACAAACACACACACATGTACATAGGCACACACCCGAAGACAGAGCCAGCAAGGACTACAATATGAAAATGGGCAAGAAATTGGCGTTTCATTTTACTTGTTTGCAGGCACAATTGAAATGGCAAAATGCATAGCAATGCATGGAAATTGCATTGCTGAAGTTTAGACTGCCAGCTATGCAAGGATGTATGTGTGTGTGTGTGTGTGTATGTAACTACAAGCAAGACATGACGACAGTGACATCTAATATCCTTATTGTTAGCTAAACGAATTTATGGCTAACAAAGTCCTTAACTTGACTCAAGTATTTAGCAGCCGGCTGCTAACTTGAAAATTGACCGCATTGTACCCGAGCTGTCTGCAACTACATGTGGCCCAAAACGCACTACCAATGTTGCTAATGAGTCCGTGGTCGTTGTGAAACTTAACTACTAACTGGGTTGTGGCTGTGTCGGAGAGTTGAAAGTGCACAATCACCTCAATAGGTGTTTCGTTAATGGGCTAAAGACTGCTTACGTATATGTATGTATGTCTTGACAGGTTTGAACATTGTAAAACTTCACGCAAGAGTGCTTCAACTGAAGTTGCAAAAGTTTTCTTTGTTATGTGACCATAATAGCCAAGTGACATCAGTTGAAAGTGCAACCCGAACCGAGTTCTGTAGGAAATGTGTAGCAGCAACTCAAGCGAAGATTAAATCCTGCATTTAGTTTCAACATGACTTCTCATCCAATCGATTTAAGAGCACATCTATAGTTTTAGAAAGTATGCACATGTTCCACATATCACATAGAGATCACCCCAAATTAATTATTTAAGTTCATGTCAAATGTACTAACAACACGGCAAGGTCAAAACCAAGTAATCCATTCAACCGATTCAACTCTGACTTTTGCCATATTAATGCGTCAGAGGTTGTTCTAATAACAGACACAAAAGAGTTTTTTATTTTTAAATCACAAGTCGAAATATATTTTTAGTCATCAGTGGCAATGGAAAGGACCCTTTGATCTTTGCCCCCCGTCCCGATGGCTATATGTTTGTTGTTGCTTGCCTTGCTTGTACACAGCTTATAAAATACATTACACACATATAAATATTCACACATATTAAAATTCATACCTACAGTGGCTCTTTGTGCTGGATGCCAAGTAATGGCCTCATGCGACAGAAACCAATTTATTCACCCATCCTGTTCCTGTTTCAAATTACACGCAGGTGAACTGAAGTGCCCTTAAAAAAGGGGCATCCCTTAAAAAAGAGTCGACTTTAAAGCGGCTTTTGGTGTTGGCAGCTTAGTGCAAGAATGTGTACGGTTTTATTTTAAATTCCAAATCATTTTGTGGATTAGTTGGTGCTTAAGGCGAATGAACAAAAAAATTATTTTTGAAATGCCAAAATAAAAACGATTTTCTAAACTTCAGCTTCTTATCTGAAAAAGTAAGCAACGCTGGAGTACCATAAATTCACAAGAGTACATTTATAGACTTCAATCTAAAGTTTTGCCAACCTATTTTAAGCATTGCTTTATACAAGTTAATAGACAGATTTACAACCTATTCATCAGTCTATGAAAGCAGGTGCAAATTCTAAAATAATTTTACAGCTTCTTGTGTAAAGTGCAAATTGAATTGACACTAAAACTAGAGCTGAATCAGCAGTAACTACTCGAATAAAAGCAGCGCCCAATGACAAATTATGTTTCATGAGAAATACGACATAAATTTTATAAAGAAAACAAAATAAAAGTGCAAAAATAAAGCGAGAACATAAAATATGACAGGTAATCAAGCGAGTCATGAGAAGTGAGTCTAGAGGATCGTAAATTGTGAGAATCTCAATGAGGATGAGCCACAGTTTGACATACTGCCGTTGATAAAGGATGAAAACATGTCACAGAACAATAACAAAATACTCTAAATGGGTAAACATATATTTTCTGCACTCCCCCTAAAGTGCGATGGATGAAAAGGTATTCATGTTAGTATATGCTTTTCTTTTTTATTAGGTTTGTGAATATGAGACTCATTTTGTAGACGACTAAATAGACTGTTGGGTGCAACATTTCCCAGTCCACCGGAGCTAGCTCCCACTTATTCATAAGGTAATCTGTGTTGCGCTTTTCATGCTATTCTCCATTTAGCCAGGGCGAACTCCGCAAATCCCCAACATTTGCCACAATTGGCATGTCGTTGCGGTCGTATCGTTGCGGATAAGAGCTGCGGGTACTGAGAACTGCATATGAAACCACAAAAATGCGGTAAAACGATTACCGAAACTCTCTGCTGTGATGTACAAACTTGCATTCGTACACAGGACACCCACAGTCACGGAACGTGCTCCAAAAGGTAAACGGAATTGCATAAAAATTGCGACGAATATACCACGAGCTGAGATAAAAAGGGAAAGTTCGCGTTTATTTTGCGATGTCTGCTACTCTCCTCATAGACCAACTTC